ATTTTACAACCACATCATAATCAGCCACTCATTTATAGAATGTTCACTTTGTCTGGTTTTGTTGCAGTCTGCCCCATTTCCTGTAAAAGGACATCAGTAATTCTGCTTGCTATGCATTTCTCAATGTGGTTGCCTTCAACCCATTGATCACATCCCTTGAAGACAATATAAACTTTCACAATTTTTGAACTTGAGTTCTCTTGGATACAAATTTGTTGCATATATTCTTTACTACAACATCTTTGTTCAAGTTTCTTGTTAGCCTTCTCTCCCTATTAATATAAAATAGTAATTGTCTTAGATACAATCATCAATTACTCCAATCTCAGAGAAAATATGAATATTATACATACAAAGAGGGCTTCATAACCAACTCCTGCAATGATAATGCAAACATACTCTAATAACTGGAATGGTTGTAATCTGGTCAAAAAACTATATCCAGAAGCACTTAAAATGGCTATAAGAGCATTGAAAATGATATGGGATAGTTATAGTCCACACCACTCCTTGTCTAAAAAACATTATCATTAATGTCAATTTTTCAGTTATATATTATAGGCTCATCATGGCAACCAAGGAATTTGTACCTGTCAAGAGACCAGTAGCATAATCCTTACATTGGAGTAGAGCATGCTGAACTGCTCTAAATGCCTAATTTTTTTTTAGTAACAGCCACTTGATCCTTTTTTTTTTAGCTACAAGATGAGTCAGAAGCATGAATATTGATTGTGATAAGAACTGCATTTGCTCAAAATTAGAAATAAATCCATACAGAGTAGATCAGAGGCTTCATCAATGAAAAGGATTATCTTCTCCTTAGTTTTTGGCACCTCTTTCTTTCTATGATTGGCATCAACAGCATTTCAGAAATCTATGGTGTATTGCTAAAGAAATGTCAGAGCATATTTGTATTATGCCTGGAAAGTAAAACAATTACATTACCTGGTCTTTCAACAATGCTTGCTGATATCTCTCTTGCAGTTGCTTGCAAAGTTCTCATGAAATGTCAAGATAATTGATTGAATCCAGCTCAGTGCCTCAACTTTAGCTTTATCTACATCCTTTGCTTGTTGCAAGTTCACAGTCTGCCCTTGTCTTTCCATACACTGATGACTGGATAGTCAAGTAATTGAAGTGGTCATCAGCTTCTGCAACTTGACTTATCCTTGGCATAGTAATAGTAATAGTGTACATAGATAACCAACAGGATCTCATAACAAGATGTTAAAGTTCATGCATTTGACTCAACCCTGATTCTTGTTGCACTGGGCCACTTTGAGCTAGGCATAAGTTTGGTTAATCATTGAGTTAGTACTTACATCTACTTAATCAAACAGAAGACGAAAATGTAAAGAAATACAGATAGTAGCGTTAGTTTCATATAAAAAGACAGTCGTCCGTAATACTTGTATTCTTCCTGGTACATTGACCAATAAACGAATCAGGAATATCATCCAAGGTAAGTGGCGGGTCCATGTTGTCAAGTTATGAGAAGGAAACAAAAGAACTTGTGCGCGTGCGCGTGTTTTTTAAAAGCGGAAATTTGCACTACCGTATTCAAAAAAGGAAATTTATTATCGAATATTCGACGTAAACAGGCCCGCACAATCCTGCAATCACAGTGTTCGTTATCAGCAAAGTAGCTACATATATATTCAGTCGTTGATGCATTGAACCTAACTGCAAAATGTGTAACAGGTTCATATAAGGAAACACAATTACGCGTAGTTGTTTTAATACCATTGGTCTAAAATAAGACCTAAAGAAATACTTATTACATATAGCGTTTCTAAATTAGTCTTATTTTAACTGACAAGCGAAAAAAAGCTTTTGGGAAGCATAAAAGATATTTGGCAAGTGTAATGTGAAGATACAGTAGGTCACGGGTTCGTCGAAATCACGCCCCAAAGTGATTCAGCGAGAGTTCTAGCGCATTTTTAACTCAGGTGTTCAATGAATGTTTGTATTTCTAAAAATAAACAAGGTGACAGTATAATATCCAACGGCGCATATTATACGCTGAGGGCAATCGCAAGTCGACACTACATATTGTGAACGAGATGATAAATAGGGATGGTTTTTTTTACACAAAATTTACTTTATACAGTATTATAGATAATCCAGCTCATACGGGAAGCATGTCAATATTAATTCGATGTGCTGTCAATAAACTGCATTAGTTATGCGATGACATGAACATATTGAGAGGATATTTACAATCATTGAAACGGTTATTTAACAACACGATAATCTATTTACACTTTTATTTCCCAGTGTTAGAGTTACATATACAAATATATATATATATATAAATAAGCGAATCACGAATATCTGAGCAATAATAACAAGTTGCCCGTTTCCCACAGACTGCGTCGGCTATTTTTCTCGGTAAAACTGACATTTTCTTGTGATTTAATTTACACCGAACCATGGTCCAGTAGCAGCTATGTTGTTATCATCATCGCGGTACACATAAGCATAATACCATTTTCCGATGGTGTATGATGAGTCGAGGTTGATTTGAGCGAAGCCACCGCCATAGCTGAACTGTAAACGTTAAAAAAATATGAAATTGTTAGGAAACCATCAAAGGGTTATTAAATCACGTGGACAGACTTGTAGGAGGAAATTTAATAAATTACCTTTCCAATGTATTTCCAAAACCCGTTGTTGCCAACGATGGCGACATGTACTTGCTTGTTCCAAGGAGATGGTTCATTCCAATCAACAACCCACGAAACTGATTGAGCACTCCATTGTTTGTACGATCCTTGCGCTGGAGAGACAACCTTGAAATTGCCATGTGGCGTATTTGCCGGTGGTATTGGTGCTGCAATCGAGAGGCAGACGAAGAGAGCAAATAAGAGGACGAAAAGTGATGCTTTCATTTTTGGCAGTATATTAATTGAGTTGGAAGTTTTCTTTTGTTGAGATTGTCTGCTTGTTTTCACAATTGAAGTCTTCTTCGCTTGAGTTGTCGAGAGAAGTGAGGAACAAACCCACCAAAAGTCAAGCCGTATTTATAACTAATTTGCGCGGCAGTGCTGGATATTCTTGCTTCGCCCTTTCTCAGTGTGCGGGTGGTCTGATGAACTTCGCCTCGTAAGGCGGAGGATTATCCTGACATTATGTATAATATTGTACGTGATTTTTGAATTCGAGGCTTCATCACGGCTTGGGCTAGACTTTGGGCTAGGCTTTTACTGTTCTCGTGGCAGTGTTGCGTAGTGTTGCGTGCGATTCGCAATTAAATGTTTGTTGTGGCAGTGTCATGACGCAAGTTAAATCAATCCAATCATGCATTCCCGATATAAAATTATTTGGCTTAAAGTGGCTTCATTACATGCATGTGGCCGTGGTGGCGATGTATACATGATCAACATTCAAATGGCGGTATTATTTATGATTGGATGAGGACAAGGCTGTGTGTATGCACGTCTCATATATTCGATTTGTTCCTAAACAGTGAGGCGATATACGGGTAAGCATGCATGATGAGTGACGCAATTTTTGGTATTGCGGTCGAGGCTTGACCACTTGATGTCGATATCCAATTAAATCCGTTCAAGGAATTGCAGACTGGTAACAGCGTGCCCCACACAGCGAGTTTTTTAGGGATGAATGTCGCATGTAAGGGGAATGGTGCATAGCCAGCTTATTTGGATTTCAATCGTAATATTGAAAATGGGAAAACAACAATGATAATATTAGATCCAAAAAACCAAAGCCATTGGTTACAAAAGTCAGAAACACAGATTTTAACGCAAGTCCATCTCGGACGATTATGTATCACGTAAGGCCACATTACACATTTTTCATTTGGCCAAGTTGAAACGTGTGTCACGAGGATTGACCACTGAAACAAAAGGATGATACCACATATCATTACAACGTCAGACTAGTGATAATGCGCAAATTGTTTAAATTGTCCCTATGTAGATGATTTTTAATATCACCAGAAAGTTTGTTGTATCGTGTTCAATGGTACAAATCGTATTTTGATATGAATTAATTATAACAGATATACTAATACGGAGGAACGCCTTATCACCCCGAATGTTGCACCATCATCAACAGTTACCCAATTTACAACAAGCCACATACGCATGCTGGCTAAATGCGCTCATCTCAAGCATTTGATTCGTCTTACTGACACCAACGTTAATTATTGGTTCATGCTGAGCATCAGACCATAATGATTTGTATACATCGATAATAACATATACGTTGCCCAGAACTTGCAGATTTGGGCCTTTTCATCATAACCGGGTTTACATGACTTGTAGCATACGATAGGTTAAACGCTTTTTAGTAACTCCGTACGCATTTCACTAAAATGAGAGTGACGCAAATCCAAAAGATAATGTCGGTGAATTCAAGCTGATAAATCAACATTTCACATGATAATCACATCTAGTCGAAACTGTGTTAGTTTCATATGAAACAAATGAAAGGGAGGAGGAAAAGTGAAAAATGTAACTGGTCAGCTTGGGGGAAAAGGAGAGAATTTTGATACAGGTTTTGAGTTCGGCCCAAGTTGGCAGAGAGATGATTTTTATTAGGCGGGAATGAATGTATCAAATATTCATTCACCATTATTGTGATACTAATGAAGACGATAAGACCCCTGAACTTAGAGTGAAGCAATGAAGCAACAGTACGTCATTTATTCATGAAGATCATGCTAATTTTTATTGTCAAATCTGGAAAGAGCAATCGTGCGCATTGATCGCACGTGCATAGTTAATTTGAAGATCCACTCACCGCTTATTTCGTATGCGAAATGTTCGTTTATATCCACAACTGGTCTCGCGTGGTGTTAGAGTAAAGCACGTTAAAAACTACGCCCAAAAGAAACTCTTTTTTCTATCCCCACCCGATCATTCCAATGTGCGAGCAATGTGATTACCTTCGTGATAACCATCAAAATTGACTTTTTGTCTGACTGATACCAATCAGGTCGAGCATGCATTGATCGAGCGATTACACGTAACAACTTTGAAAGATCGAACAATAATCATGTATCGAAATGGAAACTATCCATACTGATATAAATGGTATGTTTTTTTACAATATTGTTTCACAAATAAATGCACAAGTAATGATAGTTATAAGAGAGTATACTTTTTCATTTTCTAGTATTTTTTCTCTTCTCTCATTTCGATTAGATTTCATAACAGCACTCAACGCCACACTAGCTCATCCTCGCTCTTCGCTCTTTTACTCTCTCCTTCTGATCATTCGCCCTCTTTCCTTGCATTCATTAATTTAAGCCAACTCCGAGCCTTCTATCACCTCAATTACATATTCTACATTTTCTACACTAATCGATAGACCATCGCTTGATCGTCCCGCGAACAGATTCTAAATTAAAGCCATTGTTTCCCGGTGGGAATTGGTCTCCTGCCTCGTTTTCATTGTTGCAATCACGGGATACTAAAGGATACAAAGTAAATGTGAATAATTGCACGAATACAGTTGTGATTACAATAAATGTATATTGGTTGAAAAGGATTCTTACAGTGATATTTCAGACCCTTATTAAAGTTTCTCAAACAAAGCGCAGATATCACTAGTGTCACCTGCGAATATGAAAATGTGGCATTAGAGTACTGGGCGAAAGAATTGTCCAAAAAAAAAATCAATTAAGAATCATAACTTACCGCGCCCAAAATCATACATATACATACTAAACAAAAAAAATAAGAAAATTGTATACGAGCGAGTTAATATATATATAATGCTATTGTATTTTACCAAATATCGCTCTACACAACTTACCGAAAAAGGTAGCAAATATTCTTGTTCCCAAGTATTTTTGGGGTTGAGTTGATATATCGACAAGTTTTATCGTAAAATACACCTCTGTACCTACACAGCCTACCATGAATAGATACATCAGGGCCTTGTTCTCTTTTTTAACCTTGTTGAGTAGAAGAAGGAAAATAAACTATTGTGAGTACGCGGTAGAAACGTAAAGAATGGCTACAGAATGTGTCTATTCCAGAATCCGAACTGCTTTTTGCTGTTCATTACATACCCCTAAAAAGGCGGCCATAAGCATCGATGTCGATATGACAGATGACATAACTATGTGTTCTGCGATTTGAGTTGCTTGACCTTCAGCTATAAAAATTACAAGTACAAGAATCTGCACAGAGAGGCCAACGAAGAAAAAGAGGTCGAACTTCAGGAGCATTATGAATACTATAAATTATAGAGAGAGAGAGAGAGAGAGAGCGGAGCGGTAAGCAAACAGACATATACTCGACTACTTATGTTATGCAAAGTAAAAAAAAACAAACAAAACAGGTACGCACTTTGATACATTTTGTAGCGGTCTAGAAAAAAAAAAGTAACGATTACACAATTAATATCGATAATCAAACCAAATGTTCAAAAACACTCGTTCCTCTTTATCTTTTTTATATTTACCTCGCATGGCCATATCAGCTCCAATCTTCTTGTATATACTCCATCCAAATTCTTGATACAATTTATATGCAAGATAGGCGAATCCGTTGGCGAGGATAAATATTAGTACTATAATAGTAATTTCATAGGGCAATATGTTTATTTGTTCAGCGACAGTCTTTAGAATTTGCACAGACTGGTAAACTGTTGCAATTCAAGTCGAAAGATGCATTAGTGATGCGGTAAATAGTTTATAAATGCTATAGCGATTAGGTATTAAACAACGATCATACCTTGTATTACAGAATATATTAATATGCCGAATTCGAATAACATTAATGCAATGATCTGGATGGTATTTTGATTATGTATCTGAAATAATATCAAAACACGTCGTTAGTATACTCATCTCTTAATCTTGTGTTTATCGATGACTCCCCTCCAACCAAGTCTCTTTCCTCTCACAGAATCAACTTACCGCATCAATGTATATACCGAGCTGAAAGAATTGAGCTACAATGAACAGCACATGATACACAGATATGCTCCTTGCGTTAGCATATTCTTCCTTCGATTCATCACCATATTGCGTCGCATTTGCATTCGGTGTGAGTATTGAGACTATCTCGAGATGTTTGGAGAATACAAAAGCTTCCAAACATGCTATAAAGATTGCCTGGTAAGCCGAAAGCGCTAGAGCCAATTTGGCATAGTATGATAAACCGGACTGGGAAAGTTGATTGCGTTAGTATGGGTTGGAAGAGTTGGGAAAAAGGAAACAGAGCGGGAGGCGGAGGGAGAGAAAGAGTCAACCAGAATTCGATATAGACATGGTTAATATCTCATGTCTCGTCAAGTATACCGCAATAGTCCATTGTCTGTCTGTCAATTTCGCAGTGTACCATACCTGTCGTTTCCTTTCTCTTAACCCCGTTTATCTGCACCCACTTTCTAGTCAATACTTACCAGCTTCTGAGTTAACGTCTGTAGCATTGTGTGTATACTACGAGTCCCCAAAAAAGGGGAGAATGTGAAGAAGTAATGGTGTGATATTTACAGTGATAGAGAATAAGGTGCGAGCGGCTTTTGTTGTTAAGGGAGTAGGGAGACTGTGGTAGAAGTGAATGTAGCTATTGCAATAGTGTATTATTGTGTTGTGGGGATATGATATGATATGATTATACAAGTTGTATGATTGGAGAGAGAAATGGTGTAGACAATGATGCCGACGGTGTTGTGGATAATATTATAGGTAGTAGATTCGTAAATCGTAGTTGCTGTTAATAGTTATATTATATTGTATATACGTGGTATACAAGGTTGTGTACTTGTCTGAATAAAAAGGATAGTAAACTATGCCTTAATACCAGCGTTAGTACCAAAGAGCCGTCAAAGTACGTTATTTAAATCTTCAAAATAGGAATAGATAGGGATTCTGGAGCTAAAAGAAGAATATAATATAACAGACGGATAAACAGAAATACAATGTGATATAATATTATTGTAGACGTGGATGGTTTCCTATATCAGGATATGAAAGTTAATAAACGTTTTAGTCGATGCAGCGAAGAGTTTGGAGTGGACGTCGGATACTGCAGGTAAAATATATTACCTTAGAGCCAGTTGTATGGATAAGGAACTCTTGGCTTATTCCCTCAAGAAATAAAAAAAAAAGGAGAGGGGAGGAGGGAAAAAGTAGAAAGAGGAAAGGGGAAGGGGGGAAGAGGAGGTGGTGGTGGAGGAGGGAAAAATATAGAGAATGTGAGTGTGGAGAAAGAGAATGAAAATGGTAATATGATATATAGAAGTGGAAATGCCTAAATTAAAGTGTACCGAAATTTACAATATAAATATACAATATAAATATGTTTATTGTTATTATATACAATGTACAGTATAAATGTGATTATTATCATACGTATTTACAGTTCCCGCCCCCTCTTGTTATTTATGCCTGTGGATCAGACCAATGGCAGCCCGTCATCCGGTCATGTGCCACTACATCCATAACTCGTTATCACCGATTCCAGAATTTGAGAATGAGGCATGGTTAAATAAGGCAATCGAGAAGAAAATTAGGGCGCATACAATTGGTATGCTGTCACTCCCGTCACAAAATACATTACAATAATAAATAAATAAACAACGATAAATAATAATAATAACGCAAAAAGTGTATGTGTCCAACGTTAATATTAATTAATCGATGGTAATAACCCCGGTACATTTGGTTATGCCGCTATGCAATTTAAATTGTCCAAACACCAAACATTCCTTGTTGTTTTAAGAAATTAAAAAGGAGATGTTCAGCAAGTCCTACTAACTACCGATGGAACACTGTCAGCGATTTCTGCTACAAGTTCCATGATTAAAAATGATTGTCGGTTAAACGACTATCCGTCCCTTTAATCGTACGTGTAACTGCGTGCTACAACAGATCGTGGATAGAATGAAACACTGACGCCCACAAAAAGACCCTTTAATTTCAAGAAGTTGAATATACACAAAATACAAATAGCAACGAATTAAATTACCGGGCCATATGTACAGACGAGAGACTGCAAGGACACGTGAAAGCTAAAAAAGTATCGGCAAACTACATGTACAAGTTATCTTACAACAGACGTTATGGTGAGAAGGCATAAGAGAGCAATTGCAAGAAGAAATAGAAAGAGAGAGACGGTAGAAAGTTTTTGGGATAACATTCGACAAACAATAACTTAATAATTATGTATCAGGTGGCAAATCGAACATGCGCTTCCAAAATCTGTAGAAAGTCTACTTGTATAAAATGTAAATCCATAATCTCTCCATAGTCTCGCTATGGCAATTATCAAAAAATTCATTGCACTAATTAAGTAATTTGCTCTCCACCCTCATATCCGTAGTCCATTATCGGTCAAAGAAAAAAAAAAGGAGCTTTTTGAAACAATTAATTATAAGCGGTTTAAATCACTCGTGATTTTGACTAATCAGAATTTTGATAAATCGCTTCAAATCAGAGACAGCTTTGGCAAAGGCTCTAGAATCAAATTCTTTTCTGCAGTAGCTTTGGGAAAGTTGTGTCTTGAACAGTCTGTTTAGAGTACTAACGCCTCTTACATATCATGCTCTTTATACATCGAAAGTAGACATGATATGACAGTAAAAGTTAATTTTTAGCTTCACAAGATTTAACATTAAGATACAATTTCTGGTTGCACTATATTCCAAAGAACGTGAGGTCGAGTCGATGCTTGACGTTATTTAACATAAATCTCCAGATTAGCTATTTCTTTACAAGAATGAATAACAAACATTGAAACTGCTATACAAATATTAATTTAAATGTCTAAAACCTCTGGACTTTTTCTTTAAAATTGTTGCACCTACAACTCAATATTTTGCACCAAAATAATAATGACATTGATAAAAAATCATGATATCTGCTAAAACGTTTGCAGAGACGGTTAGCTCTCTTTTCAAATATGTAGGCATTGCTCAAATACAGTTGTTATTTACTTACTATTATCCGCTTGATAGACAACCAAAAAGTTCCGTTATTGACAGTTGGCTATTTATATAAACTCTTAATCATGGAAAAATCTACACAGTTTTTGCATTAATTTTGACAGTTATTTTTTTCAAAAAAAAAAAAAACAAAAAAAACAACAACAGGCAAGTACGTGGGGGGCTGAAAAGATTCTTTATTTTGATGATCCTAAATACAATTGTTCAAAAACTATGATTCCCTCAAAGTAGTCTCGTTAACATCTCTGCAATGTTGCAAACGATTCTGCCAACTCTAGAAGGACTTTTTTCATAATGTTTGAGAATACTTCTGACAGTATACTATTTGCATAAAGCTTTTATGGAAAATACCTACCTGACCAGTTATTTCTATGGTAATAATATGAGGGTCAATTTCTTATAAAGTCAGGTCGACTTTGGCAATACTTTTCTGACGTCACTGCTTCGCAAGGACGCCCAGAACGAGCCTTGCCAAGAATGCGTTAATCTCTATCCCTTGAATGTATGAATCCAGCTTTAAACCGTGCGAAGAGATAGTGCTTGTTTCCCTTCTGCATTGACCAACTCGTTGCGAACCTGAGTTGGCTCCCGACCATTCCTACATGATGGCCATTTTTGTCCATCACTTTGGTATAGGTTTTTCAAAAAAATAGTCTCTCAAGAATGGCGAAATGAATTTTGTGATCTTTTATTTAATTCATTCTTCGAAACGTTGCGGAATGATTGATCAACTCTATTTTTGCACAGGGCAGCCGATTGTTGAAATCAAACCCTGGCGACAAAACTTTTCAGCACCCCCACTTCTAAAAACAAGACTTACCTGTTTACAAGTTAGTTTGTACATTACCAATTTAGAATCTTTCTATAAAATGGCAAAATTATGTAATTTAAAAATTACATAAAAAATCGAAATAGAAAAAGTGTGGCAACGCGTAACATACACTATTCCAAATAACCCATACTTTGAAAGAGTGTCGTTACTATGTCTTTACTGGGACCAATTTTTTTGTTGCAAAATATTGGGTTATAGGACCGAAGAAACAACATGTTGCCAAAGAAGAATAATTTTATAATAACGTAATTTATTATTTAGGCATGTCAGTTGAGAAATAGGTGGAGGAAAGGGCTCAATTTGTTGATTGTATACTATATCAATTTTGGTAAATACTGAACGGTTATTTCAAGTACAACTGATCGTTCCAATACCAACAATTGTATCGAAACTCAATTCAGAGGTTTTTTTGACAGTCACATTCTGCATACAGTAGAACAATAGTTACATTGGGAAAAGGTCTAGAAAGTTCCAATAATACGTCATTTATTAAGCCACTGATCAGAGTATAATATCACTGTATTAGCTCACATCGCGCAGATAAACCTATCCCATAAGTTTGCAAGACAGTCTTCGACAATTGAAAGCCTCTTTTGATGAAGGCCTCATTGATAACGATGAATATAAGCGAACTACTTAAGTCCTTTGCATCTCAACCAGGTAACGATTTTGTGACTCGGGCGTTGAGACATAGAGTAGCGTGTACATAGGGTAGAGTAGACTTAGTAATATGGGCTGTAATATAGCTTTCTCATATCACAAATTTATTGGAGAATGTCACTGATCGTAATACAATGTTTGTATGCGTTAACTATATTGTGCTGTATTGTTTTTTCCTTCTATCGTTATTATATTATAGAATCCCTCACAAATACGAGCGAGATTTGACATTCCGATGAACCAATCAGGCGTGATAATGTTGTTATGGTACCATTGCTCCAGAAACTACCAGCTCATCCCTACTATTGCAGAGACTATCCCGATTATCTTGAACCTACAAATTCAGAACCATTTTATAATGTTCCTCGAT